GGCCAGCTGCCTCCCAGCAGCCGTGGACTCCAACTTCAGCCCTGCAGAGCCGCCAGCTTCCCTGCCTGTGCCCGGCCTGCCCTCACCCCCACCCCCAGGGAGCTGGCCCCCACCAGGTGTGGCCTCCTGCATTCCCAGGACCAGAGGCAGCTGTGGAGGGAGAAGGGGGGGTGGACAAAGGAGGGACGCAAAGGGACGCGATCCTGCTGCACCCGAGGATTGGCCAGGCTGCGCCCTCTCATTCGGCACCTGACTGGGAGGTGCTCACAGCGACAGTGACCTCGGCCACCGCCCTGAGCTCTGCCAGTCCCAACCAGGAGGTCCAAGTCATGAGGGGGCCGCCCCGTGGGCCACCAGAGCCCCCTCAGAGGCAGAGGTGAGGTGGGGAGGGCCGCTGGCTGCACAGGCGCTATGGACAAGTTCCGGATGATCTTCCAGTTCCTGCAGTCCAACCAGGAGTCCTTCATGAACGGCATCTGCGGCATCATGGCGCTGGCCAGCGCCCAAATGTACTCAGCCTTCGACTTCAACTGCCCCTGCTTGCCGGGCTACAACGCAGCCTACAGCGTGGGCATCCTGCTGGCGCCGCCGCTGGTGCTCTTCCTGCTCGGCCTGGTCCTGAACAACAACGTGTCCATGCTGGCCGAGGAATGGAAGCGGCCCCTGGGCCGCCGGGCCAAGGACCCCGCCGTCCTGCGCTACATGTTCTGCTCCATGGCGCAGCGGGCCCTCATCGCCCCCGTGGTCTGGGTGGCCGTCACCCTGCTGGATGGCAAGTGCTTCCTCTGCGCCTTCTGCACCGCTGTACCTGTGGCTGCCCTGGGCAACGGCAGCCTGGCGCCCGCTCTGCCTGCTCCTGAGCTCGCCCGCCTGCTGGCCCGGGTTCCCTGCCCCGAGATCTATGATGGTGACTGGCTGCTGGCCCGAGAGGTGGCTGTGCGCTACCTACGCTGCATCTCCCAGGTGAGGGGCCCAGTCTCCTTGCAAAACGGGGAGCCGCTGGGAAGGCCCTAACCCACCCCGTGTGACCGCCCCTCCAGTGGAGTGGGGATAGGGCACGTGAGGGCAGAGCCTGCTCAGGGCCACGTCTGCCCTGAGGTCCCTAGACAGACCCCCAGCTTGGCCGTCCCCACCTCCTCCTGCCTCCACTCCCGGCCCAGGAGCAGGCAATTTGCATCCTTTTCATCCTCCAGGCTTAGGTGCGGGTGAGGCTGGTGGGTGGCTAGGCCATTTGGGTACATTTCCCTGGCAAATACCCCCAGCCGGCGCCTCCCTGTTTGGGGGCGGGCTGAGGGTCTGGGTGCTCTGGGAAGGCGCACATGGGTGAGGGACACACCATCGGGATGACCTCAAGGACCACCTGGCAGCGTGCTCTCCACCGCTGGGCAGAGAGCGGGCGTCTGGGCCGCCCGCGTGGGCAGGAAGAGCGTTGGGACTCGCCCTGGTGAGCGCACAGCCCTCCCCTCACTGGGCCTGTCTGGTCAGGCCCCTGTCACCACCCAGAGGCCCCTCCGGAGTGTCTCACGTGAGTGTCCAGGCCTTCTGGGCCCACCGCTGCCCTGGGGGCTCTGGTGAGGTCAGGCCAGGCCCCAGGCAAGGGCGGCGTCCTCCACGTCATGCAGAAAGGTTCCAGAGCCCGGCTGCCGGACCTGCGGCTGAGTTTCAGCTGGCCTCTGGAGACTCGGCTCTGAAGTCAACTTTAGAACTCACTGGTTTCACCTCCAGACTAGGAATTTCCACGGAAATCAGGTTTCTGGCATCAGCCGAACCATGAGAGGACGCAGCCGCTCTTGGTGCCCATGAGCTCGCTGAGTAGCTTGCCGACCCCCAGACCAGCCGTGCTCCGCAGCTCCCCGCTGGGCCCTGCTGTAGGCCTTCGCCTGTCCCCGCATCTCCATTCCAACCTGCCAAGCAACTCCGTGCACCTGGGGGGCCCTCCCCTTGCCCCTCCCCTTGCCCCACGGTAGGTTTATGACAGAGCTGAGTTCTCACCAAGTGTCCTGTGCTTCTTGGCAGAGTCTGAGTGCTCGTCTGGTTGGTCGGGGTCCCCTGAAGACCCAGCTCAGGGTCCCAACAGAGAAGGTGCCCACTTGGTGCTGTGGGTCCCGAGAACCAAAAGAGCGGTGCTGGCCGCGGGAGAGGATCAGGGAAGGCAGGTCAGGGAAGGCGTCCTGAAGGAAAGCCCGGCCCCTAGTTCTCGTGGCAGGATAACAGCTCACAGCTAGTGAGCAGGCTGCCAAGTCTGTCATCCCGAAGAGCCCTGGGAGGTACCCCAAGGCCCGTTCTCCGGGTGAGGAAACAGACACAAAGAAGCCGGAGGCTCTGGCTCTGGTCAAGTAGCAAGCAGTGGAGACAGGACCCTGACCCAGGCAGTCTCCATCCATGCTCTGGAGTTGCTGCCCAGACCCTGAGTCCCTTGCCACGGAACGCTGTCCTTCCCGCTAGGAGGGTCCTTACGTGCCCATTTCACAGGCGTGGAAATGGAGGCAAGAGGTGAGGTCACTTGTCCAGGTCTCACACTTGTCCCGTGTGATGGCCCAAGAGTGCCAGGGGTGTCTGGGAGGCTGGCAGGGGGCGGCCAGGGCCCGCTGACACTGCCATCCCCGCAGGCGCTGGGCTGGTCCTTCGTGCTGCTGACCACGCTGCTGGCCTTCGTGGTACGCTCGGTGCGGCCCTGCTTCACGCAGGCCGCTTTCCTCAAAAGCAAGTACTGGTCCCACTACATTGATATCGAGCGCAAGCTCTTCGATGAGACCTGCACGGAGCACGCCAAGGCCTTCGCCAAGGTCTGCATCCAGCAGTTCTTCGAGGCTGTGAGCCATGACCTGGAGCTGGGCCACGCCCACGGGGCGCTGGCCACTGCCACCGCGGCCTCCGCTGCCCACAGCCCCACCGATGGCGCCGCAGAGGAGAGGGACAAGCTTCGCGGTATCACGGACCAAGGCACCATGAACAGGCTGCTCATGAGCTGGCACAAGTGCAGACCTCCTCTGCACCTGGGCCAGGAGCAGCCGCTGCTGAGCAATGGCTGGGCAGGGGCCGGGCCCCGGGCCCCACGCAGGGAGGTGGCCACCTACCTCAGCAGAGTGTAGATCCTCAAGCCACACAGGAGAACGAAGGCACTGGTGCTGGCAGGGGCCAGGGTGGCTCCCCGTACCCAAGCTCCCAGCTGCCCCTGTGAGAAGGGAGCCTTGGAGATGGCGGGCACCTCATCCTCACTGTGACACCGCCCTGCAGGCCCTGGGCAGCTGGCCCCTGAGCAGTATTAGAAGGGTGGGAAGCTTGGAGGGACAGGACAGAGGGCCAGCACCTGGCCTCCCCTCCCAGAGGGCTGGTTTAATCCCTGGCTCTCTCTCCTCTCAGGCCTCCCAGGCTTGGTGCCCCAGACTTGCTCCTGCCTGGCACTGTTTTTCTTAATTTGTTCTTGTTACTGGCGATTGAACCCAGGGCCTTTGCTACAATCCCAGCACTTTTTCATTTTGAGTCAGGGTTTTCCTGAATCACTAAATTGCCCAGGCTGGGTCTGAATTTATGATCCTCCTGCCTCACCCTCCCAAGTGCTGGGATTATAGGCATGGGCTACCATGCCTGCCTCTCTGTGGCTTTTGAAGCTTTCTCTTCCCCTAGGTTCAGGGACTGGGAAGCCATCAGCCCTTTCATGGTCTTGGTCAGAGTCCCCTGGGTGAGGCCGAGTGGGCCCAGGTGGGCCATGAGGTGACACAGGCCCTCAGCTGCAGCGAGGCCTGAGGGACAGGGGATAAAATAACAGGCCAAGGGCCAGGGCCAGTGGGGAGGCCGGGCTAGGTGGTCCCGTGGTCACAGTGGACTCTGTGTTCACATAACACCAAGTACAGGAGGCCTCGCGTGCGGGTCCCTGGAGACCACACCAGTGCCCCCCACCCCGATCTCATGGGAAACCAGGCCATGAGGTCTCCTCGTTCCCTCACAGACCCACCCGGGACTGAGGGGCCTCTCCCGTGCCCTGCAGCCTCCCGGAGGTGAGGACACGCTGCCTGCAGTGGAAGCGCTTAGCCGTCGGGGGTGGAGCGGGGGGCAGCACCGGCTCCACCAGTTCCAGACCACGTTGCTGGCCAGGTGTTTCATTTTCTGTGCCTCAGTTTCTCATCTGGGTGTAAGGGCACCTACCTCGTGGGCATGTACAGAAACGCACAGGGCACGTGGTGCCTACTGTTTGCTCATCTTCCAGCCCATTTGGGTCTGGGAGGGTTCCGGCTGCCCTCACTTGCCAGGCGCCCTGAACCAAGATCTCCATATGTGCGGGGAGGGCGGGTCCCTGAGTGCGGTGGGCTTGGAGGGCTGCAGGGGAACCAAACCCCAGGGCAACAGCAGGGCCAGACGGGAAGGAAAGGGTTAAGCTCCGTCAGGGCCGGGAGCCCCAGCTCTGGAGCCCTGGGTCTGAGGTGGTGGTCAGAATTCTGCTTCTCAGGGTGGCGGTGAGGGTGGAGGGAGGGCGCTCTCAGAGGAGGACTAGGCCCGTGTTTGGCACTGAGGCAGGATCTGAAGCAAACAGAAGCAAAGCAGCACTGGTCCCTCTCCCACCGACCTTCTGCGCGGGCCTCAGGGAACCCCGGCTCCCTTAGCAGCCCCTGGGAGTGAGCTGCGTCTGGGGCAGGATGCTCAGAGGGGCAGGGTCTGAGCAGGCGGGGCCTGGCCTCCTGTTCGGCTCCTTCCAGCAGCCTCTGCCCGGTGGGCCCCACCAGGGGAGCTTGTGAAAGGGGCACAGGGGCAGCCCAGCCCGACCCCCTGAGAGGCCCTGCCTGGGTGCCGCTGAGGTCCTCCGTGGGCCCCACCGCCGCGGTGGGGAGAGTGCGGTGAAGTAGGACAGGCTCGAGGAGCAGGCCAGGGGCCAGGGCCAGCAGCTGAAAACCCAAACCCGCTTCCCCACTTCCTCCCCTGGCGCCGCCCCTGCCTCCTCCCCTCCCCTCCCCACCCTCCTCCCCCAGGCTGTTTTTCCACTCGCTGGCGAACATGCTCGTCCCACTCCTTCCTTCTCTTTTATGGAGTTAAATGTGTCTGTAGACGCCTAGACGTAAAACTGTGGAGACGACAGTCCCACAAGCCTCAAACATCCAGCCCCTGCCGAAGCCAGCAGGAGAGAGCAGGGTGGGCAGTGGGACGCTGGGGTGCAGCCAGCCCTCAGGCCGGCGCCTGCCTGGAGATTCCCGTGTCTGTGCCTCCTACGGCCCGCTCGCCCGCCTGCCCGAGAGCCCCGCAGAAGCCACGCACAGATGCTCTGCACCCAGGTAAGGAGGGCCCCTCCCCGGGGTGTGCCGGTGCGGCCGGTCACCAGAGCGCAGGGCAGGGCCACACAGGCGGCCCAGAGGGCCCGAGAGGCTGGGGAGGCCCTCAGCAGAGTCCCTGGCTCAGGGCCCGTCCCAAGTGGCCCACAGGGCTTGTCCTCGGGAGAGGCCCCCTGCTTGGAGTCCTGCACCCCTAGAGGGGGGCCTTTCTTGGGCCTCGGTGCCCAAAGAGCTCCACTCCTACCAATAGTAACCAGTGTCTGGCAGAAGTCTTGGAAGATGGCCTGATCTGTCCTCCGCTATCACTGCCCCGTCCCGCCATCTCATACCCCACGCTGGGTGGGGAGAGGGGCCCTGTGGGGACCCAGTTAGGTACCCAGAAACCAAGAAAGAAGGGAAGAGGGCAGAAAATACATTTATCTTAAGAAATATAGCCAGGTCCCTTTCCCAGGGCATTGGACAGGAGCCTCCGGGCAGTCAGATTTCCCCGGTGACCACGTGGCCCTGGCCGGGCGGCCTGGAGGCCGTGACAGCAGGAAGAGGTGCGGGTGCAGGCAGGAGACAGCTGCACCACCTCTCTCCACCTCCCCAGCTCCTCCCTCAGCTCCCCGGCTCCCCGGCTCCATGGCTCCATTTGCCCGGGGGAGTCCTGTTTTCCAGCCCCGATGGGAAGGAACTGGGGACCACACCCTGGCCTGATCTCTGGCACCGTGGGTGGAGCCTGGGAAAGGAGTGGGGCCCAGCCTTTTGGTAGCCTGAGGCGTCCGCCACTTCCTGACTGCTGTAGGCCGACCACCACCCGCCAAAGGGTTGGCTCCGGAAGGGCTGGCAGACAGACGGGGCCCAGCCTCACAGGGGCTTCTCCTCGCTGGCAAGTGAGTGGGCCGGCTCCAGGCCTGGAGCTGAGAAGGGTGGAACTGGATGGGACAGGGACCCACGAGCAGGAGCTGGAGAAGGTGGAGCTCTAACCCAGCTCAGATTCACCTTGGTCCCTTCCCCAGGCTCCTTAGGTCTTTGTCGTAAGTTCCGCCCAGGGACCTCTGTCTGCCTGGCCTCGAGCAAAGCACTTGACCCTCTTCAGGCCTTCATCTCCTGCCTGGTCCCTGAATCCCCCACCCCGTGAAGACCAGACAGGGTGAGCAAATGCAGGGCCACACGCGTTGGACGATTACTAGGTATCATTTATTTTCCAGCATTCCTAGGAAGACAGCTAGCACCAGAAGTGTTTACCTGCTTTCCACAGATGAGCACACTGGGGTCCTGAGTAGCCGTGAAGTGTGTGGAGAGCCCGAGGTCTCCAAAACGAGGTCTCGGGGCTTCCGAGCGTTAGTACCACCCTCACCCCCGCCCCAAGGGAAGGAAGCTAGTGGTAGGAAGACCTGAAGTATCTGAGGCAGAGAAGCCAGTCAGTCCCAGCTCTTTCTTACTTGCGACCTTGGCTAGTGGCTCCCCTCGGGAAGCGCCCCCTCCCCGGTTGAACTGGCGGAGCCGCTTAGGGAGGGATCGTGGGGAGGGCACGGAGGAGCACACGTGACAGCTGCTCCCACCCCTTCCCCAGGGCCTGGGCTCCTTCCTCCTCCCCAGCCTTCCCACACAGGCATCCTCCTGAGCCTCTGTGCTGTCTGCTATTCCGTAGGAAACACCAGGCCAGCCGCCATAGGTGACGAAATGGCACAACTTCGCCCAGCCTGCGGGTGACCTCTGCCCGCACTCCTTGTCTGGGACCGCGGACCCACCCACTTCGGCCTCCGGTCCTGCCTCTGCCCCAGCCCACCTGTCACCATGGCCGCCCTGATCGCAGAGAACTTCCGCTTCCTGTCACTCTTCTTCAAGAGCAAGGATGTGATGATTTTCAATGGGTTGGTGGCCCTCGGCACAGTGGGCAGCCAGGAGCTGTTCTCCGTGGTGGCCTTCCACTGCCCCTGCTCGCCGGCTCGGAACTACCTGTACGGGCTGACAGCCATCGGCGTGCCCGCCCTGGCACTCTTTCTCATTGGCATCATCCTCAATAACCAGACCTGGAACCTGGTCACCGAGTGCCAGTACCGGAGGACCAAGAACTGCTCAGCTGCCCCCAACTTCCTGCTTCTAAGCTCCATCCTGGGCCGCGCAGCCGTGGCCCCCATCACCTGGTCTGTCATCTCTCTGCTGCGTGGGGAGGCCTATGTCTGTGCCCTCAGCGAGTTTGTGGACCCCTCCTCCCTCACAGCTGGGCAACAGGGCTTCCCTCGAGCTCACGCCTCGGAGATCCTGGCCAGGTTCCCTTGTGGCGAGGGCCCAGCCAACCTGTCAGACTTCCGGGAGGAGGTCAGCCGAAGGCTCAAGTACGAGTCCCAGGTAAGCACCCGACAAAGGGAACTCCTTCCTCCCTGGGCAGTAGCTGGCGCAGAGGCTCTGGGTCGGCCCTCAGGGACTCCGGTTTCTGGGAACGCATTAGCGACTAGATCTTCACGGGAGCTGGCTGGCCTGGGACTGGGAGCTTGGTAGGCAAGGGTCAAGGTTAGTGAGAATTTTGGTGCTGAGAATTCAGGGCTGGGCCTTGGTTTTGCAAAACACACACTGCCACTGAGCTCCAACCTTGGCCCTAAGAGCTTTAAACGGAAAGGTGCATGCCTCTGACCCTGCTGGTCTGCACATGCTACCTTGCAATCCACCGCAGAAACAACCACTGTGGGCTGAGACCAACACATACCTGCCCCAGCCGACTCGGCCTCTAGCACTTGCCGGCTGACAGGAGTCCCCTGGGGAAGGACACGGTGGGCTGAATTAGGAGACAGCTGCTGCCTGACCCCCACAGCAGCCTCCGCTGTGCTCCAGGGGGTCGGGCATAAGAGACAGGAGAAAGCCGCAAGCCGAAGGGGGAGGAGACAGGAAGAGGCGGGGGATTCTCTCAATCCTTTCTTGTCCTGAGAACGTAAGAAACCTAAGCGGCCAGAGACAGGCTGCTGACAGCCCAGATGGAAGGTGGTAGACACAAAAGGTTACCAGGTGCACAAATGCCCACCAATCTCTGCAAAGCAGCAAACGTGTCTTTGCGTCCTGCCCTCAGCACACTCACGCCCGGGCGTTAGAGGCAAGTGCACGGGTGACCTCAACACAAGGCACAGCAGTGGTGTGACTGGAACCAAGTCGTGAAGGATTCAGGGGGAGGACGGCTCCCAGAGGGCCTCTGAAATCCTGGAGGTGGCCTGATCCCAGCCTGGCAGTGGGGGCTTGTTTTGTGTGGTGCTAGCGAGCAGACACAACCCCTGGAGCTATGCCCCCGGCGTTGAGCTAGGTTTCGACAGGGTGAGATGAGGGGAGTCAGCCTTGGCGTTGACGTTGATGCAGAAAATGCAGTCTAAAAACAGGGCAAGAAGCTGGGCGTGGTGCTGCACACCTGTCATCCCAGCACTCAGAAGGCTGAGGCAGGAGGATCACTGCTAGTTCCAGGCCAACTTGGACTACGTATGCGTTTAAGACCAGCCTGAACTATGTAGTGAGACACTATCTCAAAACAAAGTAATTTAATAAAAAAGCCAAGACAAGTGCAAGTAACAGGGAGGAACAAGAGGTCGGGGCCTGCCCCCTCCTGTGTGGGTGGGGAGCCCCTCCTGACCCTGCCTGTCCTCCGGCCAGCTCTTTGGGTGGCTGCTCATCGGTGTGGTGGCCATCCTGGTGTTCCTGACCAAGTGCCTCAAGCACTACTGCTCGCCACTCAGCTACCGCCAGGAGGCCTACTGGGCACAGTACCGGGCGAACGAGGACCAGCTCTTCCAGCGCACAGCAGAGGTACACTCCAGGGTGCTGGCTGCCAACAACGTGCGCCGCTTCTTCGGCTTCGTGGCTCTCAACAAGGACGATGAGGAGCTGGCTGCCAAGTTCCCGGTTGAGGGCACACAGCCGCGGCCACAATGGAACGCCATCACTGGGGTCTACTTGTACCGGGAGAACCAGGGCCTCCCGCTCTACAGCCGCCTGCACAAGTGGGCTCAGGGCCTCGTGGGCAACGGCAGGGCCCCCGACGGTGTGGAGATGACCCTGCTTAGCTCCTGAGGGCCCTTACACCTCGCTCTGCAAGTGGAGCTCCCTGGCCCTGAGCTGAAGCCCACTCACGTCGGAACCAGATAGGATTTTTCTTCAACCTGCTTCTGGGACAGAAGTCGAGGGGAAGGGGTATAGCTGCAGTGGGCCGCAGAGCTCTAGCGGGGAGGAGGGCGGCTCTGCGGAGGGCTGTTGGATCTGCAGACCCTTCCCAAACCGTTTCCACCAGCCTCCTTGGCTCACTGCTTTGGAAAAACCCTTTCCCAGACCCGGTCCTTACTCGACAGTGCACAGATGAATTCTGCTTGTGGGATTCCACGCTGAGGCCCCAAGCCTGCAAAGCCGAGTGACAGTGGCCTCACCGGCAGGCTCGGACCCTGCAGTTAACTTGTGTCTAACTGCCCAGGTCAGGGGCCTGGCGGCGTGCTGCTGGGAAGCTGCCTTCATTGTACGTCTCTGGCCTTGTTTTATATATTTAAATTTTCATAAAGCTTTTCTTACTGTAACAGACTAGCCTGGTGTCCGGTGTCTGAGTGGGTGTGGTCCTGCCCTGTGGGAGGGGACAGGGCTAATGGACCACGGGGCGGTGGCGGTGCAGGGAACGCCTGGGGTGAGATCTCTAGGCAACGGGATTTGGCGATCTGATCTGGTCAGGGTCAGAGGCAGCCTGGCCTCCCTCCGAGGGGAGCTTACCGGGCTGTGTCACGAGGCAGCAGATGCCGCCTTCAGCAGGACAGAATTAGCCCTGCGGTCCAGTACCCAGCCCCGCCTTTGGCTCCCCGCAACATCTACCACCCCTGCTGTCCTCTCTCCCTTGCTCTCACTCTGCTCCCGGGCACAGAACTCAGTCCCTTCTCATGGAAGAGCTCCCGGATAGCTCAGACTCGGTCAGGGAAAGCTCAGAGGAAAAAGATGACATAAAACAGTCCATAAAACAACCACACAGAAGAACTCAACCTCGAAGGGCAGACGTGGAGCTCAGAGGCAGAGCACTTGCCTGGAGTGTGCAAGGCCCTGGGGTCCATCCACAGCACCACCCACTCTCAATAAACAAACCGAACAGGGGGGATGTACAAACACACAACCGCAGGTTCTCTTTCATCCTGACCGAACTCGCTAAGGGTGCTGCAGAAAAAGCAGCGCTGTAAGCAAGTCCCCGCGTGCCCAGGGGCCCGCACAGAGCTGGGCTGGCCCGCACTGGGCCCCGCGCGGCCCCAGACACTAGTCCCCCAGCGCGGCGCTCTTGGCCTCCACGTACTCCAGGGCCTTGGCCTTCACCGCCAGCACATCCTTCTCAGTGCCATGCTGCTTCTCATAGTCCAGGTAGCGCTTGAAGAAGAACTTCATTTTCTTGGGGGCCAGACTCAGGTGAATAACCCTCTCGAAGATGTCGCTGTGAGGAAGAGGACAGCAGCCCCATGAGTCCCGGCCAGCTCAGCCACCTGCTCTTGGCTTTGGGTCCCTGTACTGCCACTAACCCCATGTCCCCCTTTTTGTTTTTTGAAACAGGGTCTCACTGTATAGTTCAAGCTGGCCTTGCACTCATGGCCGTCCTGCCTCAGCCTCCTGAGTGCTGCGATAACACCCTTGCACTACCATGCCCAGCCCCTCACCCACCTTTATCATCATGAACTCTTGGATGGCCCAGTGTGTGTGTGCAACACCACCACCTTTGTTTTCCAAATGCGTGCCATACACTCATAGAAGCCACAGGATGTACTTTCCTAAAGTTACCAGTGTATGAGGACAAAGGTATGGGATGGGGGGACACAAACAGGTATGGATCTGAGAGAAGCAATGTTTAAAACAGACAAAAGGGCCTGGCGTGGTGGTGCAAGCCAGCGCTCTGGGAAGCGGAGGCAGGAGGATCACAGATTTCAACCACTCCTGGGGAACCTAGTAACTGAGATCCTGGTGCAAAAAAAAATTTTTTAAAGGGCTAAAAATGTAGGTCAGTGCAAAGGCCCTACATTCGATCTCCTAGCCCCCCAAAAACCCTCACAGAAAGACCTAGGCCAGGTGCTTGCTCTTTCCCAGCCTCAGTCTATCCACTTGCAGCCCTCACTGCCTTGCAGTAATGCTGGGGGACACACGCGAGACTTCGTGCAGGCGCTGCACAACCAGAGCGAGGCACAGTGCGGAGTGTGACCCCAGCTCCAGCCCCAGGCTTCTCCCACTGGGGCTCCCGAGTCCCGTGAGAGCTCTTCTCCCGGATCAAATCAAAGAACCAGGAGCCTGCCCGCCCCGCCTCACCCCAGGAAGCAGCCCAGCAGTCTTCCCCTCTCACCGGACTTCCTTCTGGCTGCCATGCTTGATGGTCAGGTCGATGTAGACCGACCAGACATCCGTGCGCTTTGGGTAGGTGCTCAGCATGTTTTCAAAAATGGCTTTGGCCCGCTCTGCATCTCCCAGCTGGAACTCCAGCTGGGCAAACTTGGCGATGACATCCATGTCTGCGGGGACAGGGCCACTCAGAGAACAGCAGGCTAACAGAGCCCCGGCCCAACACCACCTGATGTGGGGGCAGTGAGGCTAACTTCCTGCTCTTTCTTGGGTCAGAACACGCAAGAGAGGCAAAACCCAATGGGGGTAGTCAGGTGGGCTTAGAGCTAAACACGCCACCGGGCACCACAGACCCCTGCTCTCTGCACAAGAAGAGGCAGGGGCCCAGGGCAGCAGAGTACATGCTGACTGCTGTCTGCCCCTCCACCTTTTGCAGCTGTTGAGCATTTGAGGATGACCCACATCACTGTACCACGAGCTTCCCAGTCTGCCCCACTCACAAGCAACAGCACCTGACAAGACACCAGCCCCACTGCCAGGTGGAGGTCGGAGCCTGCGCACTCAGACCCGGC